TTCAATGTTCGTGGTTGGATATGAATTTAAGATAAATAAAAATAAAAAATATATTTTAAGACAGAGAGGAAATAGTAAAATATATTTTGATTCATATGGATGACGACACATAGAAATAGAATTGCATGTAATGTAATGTAGCTCATCGCACGGTTGGATCTGATGGTTAATGGGGGTGGTCCCACAACACAAGTGGTATGTTGTCATTCGATGGCATCCCAGCCGTCCAATCATATCTCATTACTTTCATTTCTATATTCTACATTCCACTGTAGCTCTACTCCATGGTACATGTTTGTACAGTATTTTTTCTATAAAGCTTTTCTTCACTACCCTCCAAAAAACCATTCCATTTAATAGCTAAAAACAACAAACAACTTGTACTGAAATTAAGCTTTTTCAATTTTACTTTTTTTCTAAAATTAAACTTACATATAATTTTTAGAGTCAATTACGTTTTTCTGGTCCTTGTGGTTTGTCAATAACTACGGTTTTTGTCCATACTATTTAAAAATCACAGTTTTTGTCTTTATAGTTTGTAATTAATTGTTATTTTTATTTTTATAATTTATAATTTATTGTTGTTTCTTCATGTGGTTTATAATTTATTACTGTTTTGGTCTCTTATACTTTAAGGTAAGAATTAATCTATGAACGAAAATAACAATAAAATGCAAACCATAGGAACTAAAAATGCAATTTTTAAACCACAAGTACAAAAAACGAGCTTATCAACAAACCACAAGGACAAAAATTGTAATTTACTCTATATTTTATTTTGATTCAATTTGTTGTATTTTTATTTTAAATACCCAAATTTTGTGATTGCATAGATTTTTCAACACAAAACACCTCGGCTTGATAGTTCCATGTGCTTCGTATAGAACATAATAAAATTTTATTGTTTAGCGTTTGGTGCGAAATTAAAATAGGACAGGACAATGACCGAGTAGGTGGGATGAAAATACATCTTTTTGTCCCATCAAACTATGTAATAAATGAGATGAGATAAAATTGATAAACTACTAAACTGTGTAGGGTAAATTAAAATTTTATGGTTTTTCACATTTCTTTCACTCATACATTTCACTTTCTTCTTGTAGCACCCGTAATTCTCTCATATTTACCGTCAAACTAAAATCGTTTAGGTTTTACCGGATTTCGTGTGATGACAAGAATGGTTGGTTTAATATCTCTATTAAATACCCTATGTTGTTTGGTGGTTTTGGAAACAAAATTGGGTCAATCTTTGGGTTCCTAGTGCTGCGGGAAAAGTCGCTTTGATTTTCCCCTCGATGTGCAGCTCAAGAAAAATCATTTAGTGGTCGAGGCCACATTTGAAGCATATAATATTTATATACGACAAATAAAACAAATAAATTCACACAATATATTCACCAACGCTTAAACCTCTGACTTCCTAGGAGATTAAAGACTCACATACCGATACCGCTAGGCCAAAGACCATTTSGTTATATGATGAAGAGTTGTTGCCACATTTCAATCAAGTAGAACGACGAGTGAGATAATCGATTTACATATTGATAACGATAAATCAACACATTTTTAACAACCGAGTAAAATTCAAAGCCTACATTACCTTACCAATTTTTATAACTAATCTAGGTTTTTAAAACACTGATAAWTTTATAATATTGATGTACCCATTGTTTACAGTTTTAATCGTCATAATGGAGATTCCATATTCTTGTATATCGTCATTCAAATTTCATTTAATTAAGAATCGGTCATTTTCATTGAATTRTTTGTTAAATTAAAATTTAAAAGTATATTTTAGAAAGGTAAGTGTACAATTATTGAATTGATCTTGATTATAAGTGGATTAATTAGTGGGCAACAGACAATAATAAAGCTAAAATAATTAATAGCATTAATTAGAAATTAAGTAATTAATCACCCCTTCGTGCCATACACGTGCCACGCTTTTTTCAAGATAAGCAACCCAATTTGTTTTAAATATGCGAGTATCATTAGTCTCTCAGCATACGGATCATCGGTAGAACACAATTTTTTAAAATGCAAAAATTCTAACCTTATTAGAAACAAAAAAAAGTATGTGGGAATGTTTACCGTATATAAATATTATATATTTCATTAAAAAAAAACCAATCATGATATTTGACTTATGGGTCGTTTACCTTACTTACCCGGTAAGCGTTTAACGGTAAAATTCAACTTTATCGCTTACTTATCAGGTAAAATTTTAGTCTACTAAAACGATATTGTATGTAACAGTTTACCCGGCAAGCGCTGACTGTAGTAAGAGTGGTCGTCATCATTTACTGGGTAAGACTATCGGTCCTTCATTCGCTCTTACCAGGTAAGATTTTTTGGTCATTTTCATATTCATCCGGTAAAAAAATGTGACTTGGTAAACGCTTACTGCTTGTCGGTTTATTCAACCTTAGATTTCAACACAAAAATAGAACTCGGTGCAAGTATACACCTCGAACTACTGTCGTCTCGTAACAAGTAATAATGGTATAAGTACCAGATATCGTTCCCACAGAGATAACTTGTAAAGTTACTTCAAAAGTTCAGTTTATAAATACTAGTTTCAGATGGCGAATCGAGGGATTTGATTTATCTAAAATTGGGAGGTTTGATTAATAACTAAGAAAAATATCAGTCTTAAAAAGAAGCACATGGTGCAACAGTTGATTAAGACACTTAAACAAATGATTCAGCAAAAAGGTGACATAGCATACCTGTCACAATTATCTAAAATCAATAAATGATTTTATATAACTGTCACAATATCAACTATCGGGTCAGACGGCCTCCCAAGAGCACACACCGGTCAACGTG